TCTCTCTCTCTCTCTCTCTCTCTCTCTCTCTCTCTCTCTCTCTCTCTCTCTCCTTCAAACCAACTAGATCAAGAACTCTGAAACAATCTATGCTCACTCCTAGCCTATCTCTATAAGAGAGAAAGGCATAGAACCTGAAGGGTTTATTTTTCCACCACTTTGCCTATCATTCAAACCCCCTACCCCTACCAAAGATGGCAATATCCATGCTGAGGCATTTGTCATTTCCTCCCTGGGTGTCTTGAGCTGACTGCTCCTAATGGCAGTGGAAAGGGAGATGTTTTCTTGTCACCTAATACAGGGCTGTGGTGTCTCCCACTGAGCTCAGTGACATTTTGCTAGGAAGGGTAGAAATCTTCAACTCCAGCTCTCTTGTCACCACCTGCTGGTGGTAAGTGGTGCTTTAATTCCACCTACCACTGCACCTGAAGGAAACACCTCAACTTGAGAGAGAGCTCGGGGGTGGGGGGAGGTTTGCAGGGAGATGGCCTTAGTAGGGTCTGTGCCATCTCACACATCTAGAGTCATGTCCAACCATTCTGAATACTACCTGCTGCTTTGGGATCCTCTGTTAATGTGTCTTTACCATTTGGAACTGGATCCAGTGGGATCCTGATATTGGACAACCTGATTCCAAAAATATTTGGATCTGTTCACATGGTAAAGACCAGCAAGTAGGTTTGATTCCACTTGCAACATCTCCACTTCAGTAGTGAATGCAGTTTTTAGAAAGACCCAGGTATGGAGGAAAGGATACAAGAAAGGAGGCTACTGAAGACAAATCTCTCCTACTTCAAAAGGTATCCCAGGCGGACTGAGTCTACATAGAGACTCAGTTGTTGATGTGCTTCACTGTGAATCTGTTCAGTGTATATTCTAGGACCAGGCTCAAGAATGCCAGGTAGTAGCCTTCCCTTGAAGGGTTGAGCTCTCACTCAGTGTTCCGTGCAGGATGCAGAGCTGCTGGTGAAGTGAGCAGATGGCTCTGTAGCAATTCATATTTCTATGACAAAAGAGGCTCCACTGCAGGAGCGGATCGTCAGCCTCAAGATATGGGGAAGGGGGGATCACCCCAGGCCCATGCTCTGTGGTCCAAGCATCAACCGGTGAAACTGGCCATATTGTATATTATTATTACTGTCGTTTGCAATTAGCAGTGATTTACTCTCCTCCCTTTATCTTTATATCTCCCTTGAGCTGCTTATTTCCCTCTGTGACACTTTTTAAAACACATCTACCTCGTCACTGCCATTCCTGATGTGTACGTTCCCAGTTGCATCAAGTGAAGCTTCCCTGGATACCATCATAATCAAGTCATCACCAGTCCCACAAAAGTCATTTACCATAAGCCCTATATCTACCCCATCTTACCCACAAGGGGCATTTCTGTTGCCCGAGATTGGTCCTCACAAAATATGAGGCTCATGATAACCTGTGATAGAGCTTCACTCAGCAAGTTAATAAGAACCCTCGGTCTGTTTGGCTGCTGTGAAGTGTTCACTCAATGCCAAGAGCAAGTCAGCAGCACTTGCCTCACTGAGCTACAGCTGCTGGATGGCTTGCAGACAGGTCGTATACATAGGACTGGTTTTCTCCCTTGGGGTGGCAGCATTTGGAGGCTAAGATGATGGATGGACTCTACCACTTTGAAAGACAGACTTGCAAATGTAGACATGAGACAGGAAAAAAAAAAATCCCTGGCACTGCAAAAACAGCGGGCAAGGCTGGAAGGGGCCACTGCACATCATGGAAGTGCCAGGCAGGGCAGGTGGTCCCCCCGCTTTCCCCCAGTCATCTGGGACCAACCTCAGACTCTCAAAGCTCAGAGAAGAAGGCAGCACTTCACACACAACACTGTGATTTGTAACCCTGTAACCAAGCAGATAACCAACTGCTATGCACTGATATGGCACCTGCTTGTGAAAATATTAAAAGATTTTCATACCAGCTGGTAAATAGCCACCACTCCAGCTGTTCCCTCTGGGACATTTCCAGGCTGCCCCACAATCCACCAAATAAAGGGTAACACCTGGAGCAGCAGGTATTCTCCATGCCCTGGTCCAGCGCTTCTGTTGGCATACCTTTTGATTGTTCAGTTTCTCAAATAGTTTGAAGATTATTGTAGTAGTCACAATGCTACAATGCTCCCCCAAGATTTCCCGTCCTAATCATTAGGACTGTGAATATGATGAGATAGCACACTTGTGATTACCTTGCATTCCATGGCAAAAGGGATTTTGCAGATGTAATTAAGGTTACTACCCAAGGAGGTGATCCAGGTGGGCCTAATCTAATCATATGAGTCCTTTAAAAACAGTTTTCTTCTGCTAGCAGCAGAAGAGGATGTCAGAGGTTTGAAGCCCAAGGGGGATCTGATGTGCCATTGATGGCTTGAAGATGGTGGGATCCATGTGGTAAAACATGTGGGCAGCCTCTTGGAGATGAGAGTGGGCCCCAGCTGACAGCCTGCAAGGAAGTGGGGACCTCAGTTCTACTACCACAAAGAATGAATTCTGCCAACAACAGAAATGAACTTTAAAAAGATTCCTCTCCAAAGCCGCAAGATTACAGCTCAGCTATGCTGACACCTTGATTTCAGCCTTGGGAAGGACAGTGTGACTGGAGTGGAGTGCACAAAGGGCAGAGAAGTAGGAGATGATGTCAGAGAAGTAATGGGGTTGATGAATAGATCATGTAGGCCCTGGTAGACCTTTGCAAAGACTGGCTTCTACTCAATGAAATAGGGAGCCAGTGGATGGTTTTAAACAGAGGAGGTACCTGATCTAACTTGAATTTTAATAAGATTGCTGTGACTAATTGAGAAAAAATGGAAGTGGTGGAAGGGCTAAGACCGAGACAAATTATGAGACCATTTTATTGACTCAGACAAGAGCTGATGGTGGCTCAGACTTGGGTGGTCATGATGGGCATGATGAAAAATGGTCAGATTTTAGATCTATTTTGGAAATAGATCCCTTTGCTGTTGGAGATGTGGGGCGTGAGCAAAAGAGAGGAGTCAAGGATGACAAGAAGATCTGGGGCCTTGAGTAACTAGAAGAGTGAAGTTATCTTTACTAAGTTGGGGAAGAGTGGGAATGAAGCAGGCTTGGGATGCAGCAGAGATCCAGAGCTGGGTTTTAGACATATAGAGTTAGAAATGCCTGTGAGACATCTGACTGGAGGTGGTGGGTATGCAGTGGTCTATAA